GGCAGAAAGCCTCGATCCCAGTTTATAGAGCTCGGAAGACAGTATGCTCAAAATCGCCGGCTTGCCGGGACTCCACATAATGCGAAAATTGAAACGGTCCCCACTGTCTGATGGTGATGTTGATGTTGATGATGTGATGATGATTATGATTGCATGTAACTGTACATTACCCACATGTGCATAGACAATGCTACTCATTTCGCGCAGAAGTAATCTGTTTGGTTCAGGTTAAAGTTTGCCATGTCATCATCCTTTCAGACGTCGGCGACCAGCACAATTGGCCAAATTCCCTGACTCGGCTGCTCGGCCAATGCACCTGTTGCCACGACCCGTTGGACAATGGGCTTGCCATGCATCGCTTGGCCCGGCATCCCGACCACATGAAGTACGACCTCTCCGGATACCCCGCGGTCGCCACTCCGTGGACGGCCAGACTGCCTGGCCCCTCGGCCTGCCTGTCCTGGAGTCTGAGTCTGCATTTGGTCGGCCTGCCGGCCTACCTGACCGCCGTCGCTTCGGCCGGGCCCAGATCGCGCCAGTCGGTCGAGGGCAGATGCTTCGCTCTCGACCTCCAACCTTCGAGGCATCAACAGGCAACACAACAACGCAGAGCACACTCACATGTAAGTGGCGTTGCACACTCCGTTTGCTGCCAGGCTGGCTGGAATCGTTCAGTCTCAAGGGGTTGACAGCCCGGGCTCGAGTCCCGCCTGAGATTGGAGAGATCTTAAATGACACTTTAGGGTGGCAGATTTCGGCGAAACTGTGGCCCGGCGGCTGGAAGTTGCCGTCCTGAGTCCGGCGGAGTGGTACCATGTCGGTTTTGATTCCCTTTGAACGTGGCAATCCAAGGGTTACTCCATACAAGCTGGCGGGGCTAGGTTGTTAATTATGATTTACCGTTAGGTTCGAAACCTACTCACATTGAAAATAAATAAAGCTGCTGATCGCTATGGAAAATAGATGTCTTCTTCATCGTACATCACACAATAAAATGGGATTAGGAAGAGTCTCGGCTTACCTACAAAGTCGCATCTGCACTCGTGACCGATTCACAATGTCGCCATGGTGCTCACGACTTGGCATCGAATCTCGTTTGGGTGTTGAGTAGACATGGTGAGGCGAGTTCTGCTTGGCGGCAGGGTTGAGTGACATTCTGAGGCATAGGCAAAATTCATGTGGTTGGGTGTTGTATGGGCGAATAAAAGTTGGGCTTCGAGGAATCTCTTACCTCCCAATTGTTGAGCTTACTTTCCTTTCGAGTAAAAGTTTTTGGTGAAGAGATTCAAAAGTCGATTTCACCAGAAGACAACAACAGATTCCTCTTGACTAGGATGTTGTTTCCAAGTCAACCTCCTGTGATTCCGGCGCATATGGGCCAAGCTTTCGTCCGTCCTGTGTGGACATAATCAGGGCAGATTATCATCTTTACAACCACATTCAAGCTAAC